TTTACAGGATGGGAAAACTCCACCGATTGGACCAGTTGTTATTTCGCCATATGGATTATTTCCGTCACTCTATCTTGAAGGTGAAGTCTTATTTCTTCCTGTGGAGCTTCTTACATAATTCTAAGTTCATTTTTGACAATACTGCACATGTTGTTCTTTTCCTTGTCCAAGTGATAAAATGTATGATACTTAAGTGAAAATTTTCTCTGAACACTTGTTACATAGTTGGACTCTAAGGATTACTCCATTCATTGTGCAAAATATAAATCTTGAGATAACTTCTTCCTCTTTTAACCTTTTACCCTGCATGTTACTTCCAATCTAATCTAATAACTTGATGCCTACTTCTTTCTTTTATCATGAACCCATAGCATGTCTATTAAGCTAGTATATTGAACCTTTTTTTTAATCACAAGTAATGTCTCTCTTTCTTTGATATTTGTCAGCCACTTCTACAGTGGAACTTGTTGATATTAAGTTACCATTGACACTCTTTCATGAAAATGCGAAGTTGATTTCCCTACAACTTCACTACTTATCGGTATGTGTACTGTGATCAAGAACTTAAAATTTATTAGCTTTACTTTCTGTCCTATTAATCCTCTGGTCTATATCTTATGAGCTTGGGCATTTGAAGGAAGAACTTTTGAACTCTGCTTTCCGCTTTCTGATTCCTGCTTACTGTCTTTAGTTTCATTGCTGCCTGACTCTTCTCTTTCAAAAGCTTATTGATCAGGTACCCCTGGACAGCTTAATAAGTACGAACAAGAAGTGACTAAATCGAGCGAGAAGGTAATGTAATGGGTTTAGCTTCTTTTTCTTGGTCCCATCTTTGGCATCAAAGACTACTGTCTACCAATATTTTGTTCTACATGGTTTTGGTCAGCTTGCATCTGTTGACTTTCTTATGATTCAAGTTAACTCTCCATTGGTTTGGAAACCCTGTCTTTGATATGATTGTGACTGGTTTGAGCAGTCAGGTTAATAAGGTCACTTCTTAATCTGTACAGGTACAAAGACGTCTTGCCCAAAACCGTGAGGCTGCTCGTAAAAGTCGTCTACGTAAAAAGGTAAAATGTGGATTGCATAATAGGCAATTAGTTTGTTTCATGTCATTTTGTTGCTTTTAAGTTTGAAAGGGTTGCACTAGTTTTTTTTGTCTTGTCTGTTCACGCATGTGTTCAGGATTGGTATGTTGACTCGCATAAATTATAGGTCAGGCACTCCTATCCGCATTTACCTATCCGCAGTAGCTAGATGAGTAATTTAATATACACTGCCTGTCCTGTACTAGTGGTTGCTATCTATCAAGAGTTGTTTCTTTACTCATGATTTCTATATAATCTATTGAGCCTGTCATTTGTTACCAACATCCAAGAATGCCTGAAAAACTAATGCGTGTTGCTCTTGGTATCTTCCGATCTTTCAATTTCCTTTTGCTTGTTTACTGTTGTTGGGGTGGATTTGGTAAGATTTATTTCCTCGTTGTTTTATATATAGTATTGAATCTGTCTTTGTTATCAACATCCACTAGTGCCTGAAAAGTTGATGCTTGTCGCTCTTGTTTTCATTTGTTCTTTCATTGTCTTTTCGGTTGCTGAATGTAAATCTGAGTTTTTGGTGTAGATTTGGTGCAGCTAACCTAAACCTTTTCCCATATTCATGCAAGGTTTATTGTTGGCTTCTTCTTTGGTGGCATTCCTTGGTACATTGGGGCATTTGTTCTACTATTCGCACAAGTGGACTCCAGAGAGAAACCTGGATATGTTGCGTATGTGATAGCTGTGAGTATTGGTTTTCCAACTGCTAATATTTCCCTTTGCTTGTGGACCTCGATGCTATTTTGATTTCCTTGTCTCATATGACTGGAGTTATGTCCCGTTCTTAAAAAAGAGCATGCTAGTCGGGAAGCATCGTCAGTTTCTATATATGTCCTCGTTGCTCTTATAACCAAGATGTTGATGTTTTATTAGCTGTTAATTTTAGATGGTTCCTTTTGTCAATCAGAGAAGCTGTTAACTGGAAGTAGACACACTGAAGACACTGTTCTTGCAACATCTTCGTAGGGAGAAGGGGTCAATGGAGGGTTCAATTCGTGCACCATCTTCATCAAGCCAAAGTGCTACACGGGGTTGACAAAAGGTAAGTAAAAAAAACAAAGTACCTGCTGCCTTGCTGATTATGACTGTTTGTTTGCAAACTCTGTTCTTTTCCACTCTGGAATTTTGGCAAGCTCGTAATTTTTTTGTTACTTTTTGTCCTTGAGAATGTGATAGTATTGTATTCCTATTCCCCTTGACATTCCAGTCCAATTTAGTACCATTCTCAGCTTAGCATGTTAGATTATATATATATATGTAGAGTAAGTAATGGCAATGGCCTACAGGTTAAACCCTTCGATGCATATATATATATATATTTGAGATTGTTGTCTTGTTATTATTTTTCCAGCTTCAGGAAGAGAGAGAAAGTCCCCTCTAACTACAAGCGATGCACCAAGTGAGTCATATCATATATCGTATAGATGATGTAATTTGATTTGGAGCTATATGTTTTGGTTACCTTTGAAACAGGATAAAGATGAGCTGTTGGTGATTCTGAAGAAAGCCTAAGTTCAATATTATGGATTTAGTTGGAACTTTATATTTGTTAAAGTGTACTTTGGAAGTATTGTGTAGTAATAATGTGTACTTTGGAAATTAGCATTGTGTGGCATGGATAATGGAGAATATTGTAGACTTTGAAGGTACTTTGCATGTGTACTTTATGAGAATTTTGAAATGCTTCAGCAGGTGTGCAGGATTTCTAGAAATTATGAAAAATTGAAATGCTTCAGTAGGCTGTAGTAATGGTCTAAAAATCGTCGCTAAAAATCGTCTCTAAAAATCATCTGAATTGCGTCGCTAAAAATAATCCTAAACGTCGCTAAAAGGTTACCCAGTGCTTGAAGAGTGGTCTGTAGCAGGGGCCAAAACCGTCGCGAAAGCTTCTGGGATCCCAGCAAAGATTCGCATCTGATGACACAAAAAAGACCAAATGCGACAGAACTAACCGCTGCAACAAAACCGTTGCTAACAACCCCGGCAGCGGTTTTTGTAACCCCTGCCATTACCTAGCGGCGGTTGTTCTTGCGACGGTTTTGCAGGGGTTACAAAAACCGCTGCCGGGGCTGTTAGCGACGGTTTTTTTTCGTCGCTAAAAGTGAAAAAAACCCCTGCTGTTTGTCTTTTATTTTGTAGTGTAGGATTCGTTTCCGTGTGATTAAATCTATAGAAATAAACGAAAATTTCAATTACAGCATAAAGTAATATAGATGTAACTCGTGAAACTAAAATAGAAAAAAATTAATTGTCTTCAAAAAATGGTAAGTAAGAGCTATACCTAATTTTACATAGGAAAGTCATGCAAAATATCCATTACCATTTGATTATGTATATAAATAAAATTTGAATTTACTCTCCACTCTACATCTGTCAAACAAACCAAGACACTCACCCTTTTAGATATTAAATATGGTAGTTTGATGTGAATAAGTTGGAAGGAAAAAAATACGCACCATAGTAGTCTTAGAAACCTTCCCAAAAGGCCAAAACAATACACCGGTGGAGACAATAAAAAAACCTGGCACCACTCTATACTGCCTTCTTTTTTTTCACTCAAATTTTGAAAAAAAAAGTACCAATCTTGTGCAAAGAAATTTCAATAATGACTGAAAACAAGAAAGATATAGTCCATAAAATTAATTTGGAGAGAAATTTAATTGTCTTTCATAAATGGTAAGTGAGGGTTATGCATAATTTTACATAGAAAACTTACATAAAGGATCCGTTTCCCAATTTGATTAGATGTATATATAAATAAAACTTGAATTTATTCTACACTCTAGAGTTGTCAAACAAACTAGACGGCGTTAGAAAGTTGGGCACTGTGTAGGGAAGAGCAGAGAATTAATTTTGCAATGAATGACAAACTTTGGTTTTTACTTTTCACATTCGACGTTAGGAGATGTTCAAAATGTATTTAATCTCTTTGTTGTCTCAGAGGGAAACAATTTCCAGAATTTTATGGTAGTACATTAAACAATTATATATATAGCAGCCAACAGTGACCTGATTATGATGTATTGAACAAAACTTCTGAGTATGTTGTGAGCGCATGTGGGTCAAATACCATTGGCTTATTTGTTTGTTATCTATGAATGGGTACATGAGTCAGCAACATAAGAAATTGGTCAAGGTGACCCGATTCGTTGTTGAAAGGTCTTTTGGTTGAAAGCGCTTTAAACTTTTGGTAATATAAAGAATAACGAATAAGGGATTGATTTAGTGGTAATATCAATAGCTTTGAATTTCAAGAATTTATATTCAAATCTTTTAAATAGTATCTAATAACAAAATGTAACATATGTAATGGAAGTAGAAAAAATTAGAGGCCTCTTAAGCCGAACTTCTTCCTCCTCCGAGTGACACATAGGTAGGTATGAGCCAGTAGTTTTATGTGGGGCGGTTTGTTACAACTGAAGTTAAACTGAACGTTTCTTAGCTACTCGGCTCCCTCTGTGATTTCAGGGAAGACATCGCCCACCTCCTTCTCCGTCGATTCCTCATTTCCCCGCGTTTAAGTCGCAAATAAGCATTCAAATTTCAGATGAACCCGATAAGTGTGAGATGTGCCACTACAATTACAGCACCTTGGCGCACTCAATGACAAACCATATATAAGTAATTAATCATATAAAATAGCTAGTAGTATTGCCAGGATAACGCAGGGCAACAATTTCCAGAATTTTGTGAAGTACACTATTTAAACAATTATATATATAGCAGCCAACAGTGACCTGATTATGAAGTATTAATTAAGAACATGACTTCTGATTATAATGTAAGGAATTGGTCAAGGTGACACCATTGACTTGATTGTGTTTAGTTGTAGTTGCGACCTAGGAAGTGACTGAACCGGTGGCTCTATAAATAAATAAAAAAAAACCCATCTCTGGTGTAATATCAATTTATCAAAACCATACAAAATATGGTTCTCTATCTTCTTTTTCTCCTCGCCTTCGTCATCGCCGTTTCCCGATTCCTCTCCACCTCTTCAGCTTCCAAACACCGGCTGCCGCCAGGGCCAAAGCCATGGCCGATTATAGGCAACATCCCTCACCTCGGCAAGCAAGTTCACGTCTCCCTCCAACGCTTCTCCCAGCTCTACGGCCCTCTCATCTCCCTCCGCCTCGGCTCCCAGCTCGTCGTCATCGCCTCTTCCCCTGCGGCCGCCGCAGAAATCTTAAGAACCCACGACCGCCTCCTCTCCGCCAGATACGTCGCCACGGTTGTGCCTTACGACACGGTGGAGCTCGACCGCAAGGCCATCGTTTGGGCTTCCAACTGCAACAACGACCGGTGGAAGGCCTTCCGAGCAATGTTCAGGAACCAGATGTTCTCCGCGAGGGCCATCGAATCTCAGGCCGCCGTCAGGGAGAGGAAGGTCGCCCGGATGGTGGAATTTCTCCAAGGGAAATTAGGGGAGCCTGTTAAGATCGCTGAACTAGCTTTCGCTGCTATCTTCGACTCGTTGTCGAATCTCATGTTCTCGCGAGATTGCATCGGGTTCGAAAGTAGCAGCGAGACTGCGAATCGATTGAAGTCGCTGATTTGGAGGATGATGGAACTGGGGACTAAAACTAATTTCGCCGATTATTTCCCAGTTCTGAAGAAACTGGATCCTCAGGGCCTGAGACGCGAGATGTTTCGCCTTTGCAATGAGCTCTACTCCGTCTGGCAGCCTGAAGTCAAAGAGAGGAGAGAGCGAGGGCGACCTGGTGGTGCTGAAGACTTCTTGGATATTTTCTTTGAAAATGGACTCGATGATGACCAGATTGACTGGTTGAGTCTCGTAAGTTCATAAGGAAAAAAAAATTCAATTCGATTTCCTAGTTTACACACACATAAGATATTTTGAGCTTAATTAGCTTTGCAAAGGAGTTAATTGAGACGTATCCTGAAAAGGATTAATTACACTACAATTTGGAGCTTTGCTTTTCCACTGGGTTTCTTGCAGGAATTGTTCTCGGCCGGTACGGATACGAGCATGGCTACAATAGAATGGGCAATGGCAGAGCTAATTCGAAACAAGGGAGCGATGGACGAGCTGCGGGACGAGCTGAAGACAAAATTGTCACCACCGCTTGATGGGAAACCGGCGTTGATCGACGAATCTGTGGTGGCTCAGCTTCCATACTTGAGCGCAATTGTCAAGGAGACGCTGAGGCTACACCCTCCGGCGCCGCTGCTGCTGCCGCATCGAGCGCCGGAGACTTGCAAGGTGATGAATTACACGGTCCCTGAAGGGACTCATATTGTGGTCAACGTATGGGCTATTTCTAGGGATCCGAAGGTGTGGGAGGATGACCCGATGTCGTTTAAGCCGGAGAGGTTCATTGGGTCGAGCGTGGATTTCAGGGGGCAGGATTTCGAGTTTCTGCCGTTCAGTGCTGGGAGGAGGATGTGCCCCGGAGTGTCATTGGCCACCCGACAGATTCCGTTGGTTTTGGCTGCTTTGGTTCGGAGCTTCGATTGGTCCCTCTCCGATGGAGAGGATCCGACGGAGTTGGATATGAGTGAGAAGTTTGGTACAACGTTGGAGAAGGAACGACCTCTGCTTCTTGTTCCCAACCGGAGTTCATTATAAGGTCTTCCATGTTCCCTTTGAGATACAATAAAAAAACGAAGAAGAATAATGGTCCATGTATATATATGGAAGTAGGTACTCTCGAGCCGGGGCTTGTGTGGATAATGCTTGTGTGATGGAATAATAGTCCATAATGAGTTTCGTTATAAGTTCAAAATAGTAGTTATAAGTTCTTAATGTAAATGATAGTTCAGGCGCTTAGGATATCGTACTTATTATATGTCTTGTTTTTATTTATTTAAATGATGAATTAATCGAAATTTTCGACATCGTATTATTCCCTAACTTCTCATGGGTGAAATTCAGTCCGTAATTTCCAACCACAAGCCATAAAATCATGTTTGGGGAGGCATTTAAGGCCAAAGGAAACGTCAATGAAGTTGTGATGAGGGAGGACGATGATTCTGAGTGACGATTCCAAGTACCTAGTTTGTGACTCAGCCAAACAGGTAACCCTTTTTTTGTTCGATTTGTAACATTTTTAAGACGTTCGTCACTTGCTGTCACATCTATCGAATAGGACAATTACCGCATCTGGCTTCAATTCCTCGCACGAACTCACAATCGCTACTATTCCAGATCGCTCAGCGATCAGACAAAAGTACTTGCTCATTAAAAATTGGTCTAAATCATCACAAAAAAGTATGTAATTAGTCACAAATAATATGATCAATTAGTTGTTAACCGACAATCGAACCGATAAATTCATTTAGTGGTTAACCGATAACCGCTAATTTCTTATTGGTTTTGGTTTCGGTTAGTAGTATTTTGCTTAGTGGTTATTGCTAATTGACTAATCGGTTAGTGGTTAATCAATTAGAAACCCGATAACCGCCTACTAGTATAACCACATAGTTTTGGACTTTGGAAAAAGGGAAGGTTTCAAGATTCAAAACCAACCCAAGTCGCAATCTCAAACATCCCAATTTTCACTTATTGCAAACAACCATTTATCAAGAGTGTCAAATTGTATTCATATTATTTCTTAAAATTATTATTTTATGATAACAATATAGAAACGTAGTTAAATTATTTTTAATTATTTGTATGATTATTCGTCTTTAATATGTAGTACTGTTGTTCATTGTTATGTTTATGGATGAAAACTGATGTTGAATGACACTTATTAGACTTGATTGAAAGATGATTTGTGTCTCATCAACCCTTATCTAAAATACATCTTTAACATACACACATGCATGCTAAAGCTAAACTGAGAAATACAAAAGAAAAAGACAGACTTGGGCCTAGGCCCTAGAGTGAATTCCAAAACCCGCCCCGCAATTATCAAACGTATCCGGGAGTGAATTCCAAAATCACATTTATTTCTATTATTAAGGCCCCTCGATTATTCCGCTGTGTGTGTGTCCGTCCATCCGTCCATCAGTCAGTCGACGCTAGCTTCAAGTGTTGTGTTTGGCTGCTCCGATCCATAATATGAATACTCCATCCATATGCCTATAAAATTTTCAATACCCTGCTGGTTTCCCTCTTGCTGTTGTTCTTCTTCACCAAAACTAGGTAGAGTGGGTCGTGAGAGCTAAGCTGAAACAGCTGTGTTGCAATGAAGGCAGCAATACTGCATGCGAAGAGAAACAGATGAGGATTGGAATCTAATTAATATATATGATCATGTCAGATTGTTTCAACGGTGGGCTGGGCGGTTATGACTTATGAAGGAGAAATTTACGTACCCGCCAGGAAGTATCAGAACAGCTATCCACAAGGAAGCGCTTAGCCAACTTGTTTCCTTGTAGGCAACCCACACCTGCATGGATTACAATTCAGTTGGAGAAACATGCATGCATGCATGCATGCATCAGGCAAGGCTACATATAGTAGTAACACTAACAGGAACTTGAAAATTCATTTGGTCCTAATTTTACGTACCGAAAGAGCGATGAAGTTAGCACACATGTCGATCAGGTTGGCAGCCATCGCCCTGTACATACGTACGCGAGAGACATACATTCATTAATTAATTAATTCACGTACTCTATCGTTAAGGTAGAGGACTAGCTAAGCTTGGAAGCTAGCTTACGGAGTCAAGATCTCTTTGCGGAAAGGAGAGCCTTGAATCACGACAGAGCAAATCAGGGTTGCTATCATCACACCAACCAAACTGGTGAAAACAATGCGTGCAGTGACGACTAACATCGGAGAGCGCTGCTGCTTCCCCTTTTGAACCTCGACGCTCCTGAAATTAAAGGAATAGTCGATACTTAGGTAACTCGATCGACTGATCGATCGATCAAGCGACCTGAAGGATGTACGTACGTACGTACGTATTCGAAAAAATTAACGTGCAATAAGATTGATCCATACTTGTGTTCGGGTCGCAATAGGGCGTGGTAGATAGGGTCGTCTGCAGCTTCTTGGGGTGACAACTTGAGAAACTGAACAAAGGTAAAGGAACCAGCCCCCATGCTGCATACATATACGTACATGTAGAGGAACGATATGATGAACATGCATGGAGATCGATCGATCGATCGATCGAGAAACAACAATTACTTAATTAATTAAGGACTTCAATAACCCAAAGTCATTAATACTAATTATAACTTAAATCAATTAATTAGTACAGCACCTAGCTAGGTTAGGTAGGTAGGTGAATGAATTAATTACCTGCCAGTGCATATCAACAGAAGTATCCAAACCGGCACCAACAGCAAGTTGGATTCCTTGTACAAAACCCAGAGCTGAAAAGGAAAGAGAGAGAGCTCAGTAAGGCTACTATTAGGTTAGCTAGCAATTACCGCCAAGGGGAATTAAGCATGAATCTAATTCTTACCGCCAAGGGGAAAACGTAAATGTAGAAATCAACAAAAAAGCCAGCCATCCATCTGCATTTTTAATTCATTTGCAAACCCACGCCATTAAATCAGTTTAGCTACAGAATTAATGGAAGAGAATTCGATCGACGACAAGATATATATATATACATACATATTGCTTAAGTGAAGAGCGGATGGTGAGTAGAGTAGAGTAGAATAGTTACGGGGTAAAGAAATCCTGGACGGTGAGGCCATCGGTGTACATCACGTAGATCCACGCGCCCAGGACGAAGCAGACCATAGACGGGAAAAGAGTCCTTAAGCCGGCCGCCATGAGAGCCATCGTATTCGTACGTAGAAATTCTGGCTGGATCGGAGATTGGATCTCTTGTCTTGTGGTGTCGCCATTAGATCGAGCGAGCAAAGCTTCTTTTAAATGGCGCGCGCGGGAGAGTCCAAAACCCAAAAAAGTCTACTTCTGCTACCCCGGCCAACCCAAAAAAGTCTACTTCTGCTACCCATTTCGTAGACTATAATTTCTAGCAGACAACTTGTTTTTCTAAACAAGGAATCTGATTCTGATCTGACAGCAATGATAATAATAATAATTATATTATACCACATGTAAGCTATGACAATTTCATAATACAAAACTCCTAACTTTGAGAATCTAGAACTTCACTACCCTGGGGTTTTAAAATATTATGATTATTATATGCAGTTTAAAAGTTTAGAGTTTAATGTTACTGCTTCATAAATACAACATGTGAGCTATAATTTCATAAATACCAAATTTCATTCTTTGTTCTAGACTTCTAGCTGCTTAATCTTCATTCATTCTACAAGTCCCGGAGACCGCCGGACACATTGGTTGTGTGTCGCCGTCGACATCCTGACATGTTTTCTACACGTCGCAAGCGAGAGTTCAATTTTTCAATTTATTTTCAAAAATTTATTATTATTCATTGCATTCTAAAAATTTTAAATTTTAAAATTAATTACTCTATTATTATGTACGATCCCTCGTGTTGTCTCTGTCAATTTGGATACGTACAGACCATCCCCTGCGGTCCACTTCCACCAGTTGATATTTGTCGTGCTGCAAATGTCAAGATGTACTCCTTATCTTACTGTTCCGCTTTGGATGAGATTCTGAGGGGCCCTTCCCACCACTCGATGCAATTAGATTTGATATCGCGACATGTCCAGACAAAGGATGATACCGACGATGAGTATCTAGACCGATATCTTGGACGTACCCACGCGAGGAATGTATGCACCAGTATTGCTGACCAACAAATACATCACTAGTCTAGTCATGGTTACAAAAGAGCACACAATGAATGAGACTCTGCCCACTAAATTTCTTCATTTAATAAGTTAATATTGTTGTCTACTTCTGCCACCCCACCCAAAAAAGTCTACTTATGCTACCCATCTCGTATGCATACAACTCGTTTGAAATACCACCATCATTCTTAATACTACTCTTCTAAATAGGGAACCTGACAGCAGTTCATAACCCAATGCAAATTGGAAACACAAAATTTTTAACTAATTTTTTTCCCCCGTGAACTCCTCTTTCTTTTCGAAATATTTAAAGAAATTCTCTATTTTGACTCTAGAATGGCACCAAATCGCTTTCACCATCTAAATATCGCCTCTCTCGAGTGTTTGGAATTAAAAAACCCAACGAATTGGAAATCAAAAGTCACGTTGTGACTTTCAAGTTTCATGGTGTGAGTTTTGCAAAACGCAGCCTATCAATTACTGACTTAAGGGATCCAACGCCACATCACAAAAAAGAAAGCAAATGCATCTCATGATTATTTTATCCTACCACGCCACATTTTCCAAATCAAACCTCCTCCCTTCACTTATTTCATTAGTTTTTTTTTTTTGTTGTTCCGTTTCACACTCCCGAGTAATTAAACCAAACTAAAAAATTGATTCCCTAAACAGTCAGTTGCATGTGGTACTGCTCTATGTTCAGCCCACTCATCTTGACGAAAATGCAATACAAAAAAAATTGGGTGCATTTCTGATCCCAACTGAGTTATGACATGTGATAATTTCAAACTTATTTAATCCATATAATAGGAGAACAACATAATTCATATTTATTTCGGAGTATGCTAATATTATTTGTATGTTATATTGCACCAGTTTTTTTTTTTTTTTGTAATTGCATCTCATCATATGTACGGATTACGCATAAACATAACGGACACAAAATTTATGTGACTTCCTCATTCGACATAAATTATTATAGTTCTCGATCAGAATCAATATTCTTATTAATTTGTGTTTTGTTAACCCGCCATAGCTTTATATGATGCAAACTATATATAGCTTAACTCGAATACTCGGACAAATGAGAAATTAACGGAACATCCTCAAAGTCAAATACACATATTAACATTAACAAGTAACATCATACAATTACAAATAAGTAAACTTTTTGTATAATATTTATGCATGATTCTGATCGGTCAAAAGGAGGTGGCGGCAGCATATGTGGGCTGGCAACATAATTATATTGATTTATAATTGGTCAACGAGTTCCGGCTCCATATATTGTTAGGCTACAGCCACATGAAGATTATATAATGTATTAAACACTGTATATGAAGATACATATAATTAAAAAAAAAATGAGAGGAGGGGAGTGGTATAAATAAATGATGCTCCGAGCTAGCTATCCAGATCTCTATCCCATCATCAGTCATCACTTGCTAACTAGCTAGAATCAATCGAGATTGCAAGTAGCCCAACAACACTAGAATGGAAGATCATAAGCTACTAGAAGTTGGTTGGTGGTGGTTGCAATCTGTTCCAAAGCATTGGTCCTTGGCCACCCCAACAACACTAGTGCTAGTAGTGATCATATTCACCACCTTCCTCCTCAAAAGTTCACCCAAAAAGAAGACCAAGTCTTCGCCGTCCGCACGGCCGCCCCCAGGCCCATGGAAGCTGCCGGTGATCGGAAACCTACACCAGATGGCGGTTGGGTCGCCGCTCACGCATCACCGCCTCCGGGACCTGGCCAGGCAGTATGGCCCTCTCATGCAGCTCAAGCTGGGCGAACTCTCCGCCGTCGTCGTCTCCTCCCCAAAATGGGCCAAGCAGTTCATGCAAACCCACGATCTCAACTTCGCCACCAGGCCCTTCCTCCTCGCCGCCAGCATCATATTTTACGACGGCCGGGACATCGCCTTCGCCCCTCACGGCGACTACTGGAGGAAGATGAGGAAGGTTGTTTCCATGGAGTTGCTGGGTGCCAGGTACGTTCGTTATTGGATTGTTGTTGTTAAAAGATAGATCATATAATACATCATAGACAGTAGCTGATGATAATATTACTCGGACTATCTGACCATGACTATAAATATTTATGATATTTTTCTATAATTCGTATCTTTTTGAAATATAGTGAAACTGATTTTGTCCTGCTCGTAAACTATTTAGCATATATCGTGTTAATGAACCACCTAAATCTGTGTGTCGTGTTTGCTTACTGCTTTCATTTTCTTATTCTGCTGATCCTAATAGAAAACGAGCTTAAACGATAAACGAATAATCGAAGCAAATATAACACACGCGCGATGTACGTGGTATCCCCGAGATTCGGGACTAGTCCACGGGGGAGTTGGCCTCTCCAAGCTTCAATCTTATTCCCAATAGAAAACGATGATCAGCTAGGTCATTTACATGGGAAATATATAGTGTCCATGCAAAACCCTAGCTCCCTAATGGCTCATGTCTCACACGTCCAACACCCATAATGGCACTAGCTAGGCCGAGTCCAGTAACAAGTAACAAAGGAAATAATACATATGTACAACTGGGCTGAACCCAGCGAATCCAATACGTCAACAGAAACAGTCGTGACATCAACTAACTTAATTGTTCCCATGCATGCACAAACACTACGTATACCCAGGCGCGTGAAGCTGTTTCGGCCTATCATGGAGCGAGAAGTGAAGAAGCTAGTCGAATCAATCTCAGCAGGCGGCACGGCGGCGCCGGTGAACATGAGTCGGATGTTCGTCTCGCTGGGGACAACGGTCACATCTTGCGTGGCCTTTGGGAAGGCGCGGAAAGACGACCACCAAGTGGAGCTGCTGTTGCCCTTGATAGACCAAATTATGGAGACGCTGGGAGGCTTCAGCCTGGTGGACCTCTTCCCTTCCAGTAAGCTCGTGGGCCTGCTCACGGGGGCCCATTCCAGCCTCAGAAAGGTCCACGCAGCCGTCGATGTCATCCTCGAAGCCATAATCAGCGACCACGCCGCAAGAAGGTCCACATCATCATCAGCTACCAATTCGAAGAAAGACGGCGACGGTGAGGATGTTGTGGACGTTCTCCTGAGTATCAAAGAGAACAACGACCTCGGAATCCCTTTCACCAACGAGGAGATCAAAGCTCTCATCCTCGTAAGTCTGCACGTGCACTTTTGTCACATACAATTCATTTTGAGATCCATTTACAAACAGTAACGCTTATGAGATTCAATTCATTACCTTATGCAGCAAATATTCCTCGGTGGGACTGACACGTGGACCGTGGCAGTGGAATGGGCCATGTCGGAGCTAATGAAGAACCCATGGGTTATGAAGAAAGCACAAGAAGAGGTGCGCCAAGTGTTTAACTCCAAAGAAAAATTAGGAGCTGCAAATGATCAAGCGTGGATGGATCAACTGCCTTATCTACAGCTAGTTGTGAAAGAAACTTTCAGGCTGCATCCTCCCGGTCCCTTACTAGTTCCAAGGGAGAGTCGAGAAACGGTTGAGATCGATGGGTATCAAATACCGGCTACCACCAAGGTCATCATCAATGCATGGGCCATCGGTCGAGATCCCCAACACTGGACCGAGCCCGAAACTTTCCATCCGGAAAGGTTTCTCGATAGCTCCGTAGACTTCAAGGGGATGGATTTCCAGCTCATTCCGTTTGGAGCTGGACGAAGAGCGTGTCCGGGCATACACTATGGGATCTCCATCATCAATATCGTCCTCGCGAATTTGCTTTATCATTTCGACTGGGAGCTTCCTGATGGGATTACCCACCAGGACTTCGACATGTCCGAGAAATTTGGCGTGGAGGTGACAAGGAAGAACGACCTGCTCCTCGTTCCCGTTCCATATATACCCCACCACCCAGAATAATTAGTAGCTATCACGAATTAGCCTACCGATTATGATATTCCGCCTTGATTAACTTACCTTTGCCTTCTCCGTGCGTCTACTTAATTTTCTGTCTTGTCTTTTGTTTTTCGTTTCCCCATATGAATAATTAAGTGAAGATCTATATGAATTGATTTCTTAATTGAATGGAATCTGCTCCTCTCTTGAGCAAGTACATGAAGTGAAGACTAGCTATCTGTATTTACATGTGCGTTTGCAATAAAGGAGAAGAAACAATCACATGTAACTTTGATGTAAGTTGACAGTAGGGACGAAGAAATGAAGGATCGATATCATAAATGACATGCATCACATGATCCGCAGATGGTGGGATATTAATATAGCTGGAGGATTGAATAGTAAGGGAGAGGAAGTAATGGGTTATCTAATATAATATGCTTAATCCATATGCTACAGTGGTTTATAAGTGTGCTTTTGTATTCGGCATCTTTAATCTAACTAGTTCATGACAAATTAGTAATTTTAGATGGAATTAGTAACCACTAAAAATACACAATTTATATATAGATGAGCTTTTTTATTCGGCATATTTCGCGCGGTACCCGATCTGATAATACTGACTGTTAGAAAATGAAATTGAAATACGAAAGACTCGGATTTACGTGGTATCCCTGAAAAGGTTCAGGACTAGTCCACGGGAGAGCCTCAAGACTCTCCTACTACTGATCGATATTACTTGGTGATCGGCTGCTGTACATAAGAGGAATATATATATGGCCAATACACCCTAGTTCCCTCGGCCATACTTCAAGAGAGGAAGAAAACCCTAGTACACTACGTAAACAAAGGGCCAACAATACAATGTGCACCCGCATGGGCCTGGACATGTGGCACACATGGGCTGGATCCGCTAACAGCCTCCCCCAAATTGATGCTGGGCCCGAAGCATCAATTTGCTACTGAGAAACCAATGCCGACTCGTGGTAAAAGTCTTGGTAAGTAAATCCGCCACTTGATCTTCAGTAGGTATATGTCGGAGCTGAATGATGCCCGCACGAACCAAATCCCGAATATAATGAACGTGAACCTCAATGTGCTTCGTACGGTTGTGGAGAACCGGATTAACAGCAATCTGAATGGCACTGGTATTATCAACATGGAGAATCATCGGGGACGCAACAGTGACACCAAGATCACCGAGAAGACGATGTAACCATTCTAACTCCGAACCAACATCAGACATGGCCCGATACTCAGCCTCCGTCAAAGATTTAGAAACCCTGTCCTGCTTCTTACAACGCCAGGAAATGAAAGCATCACCAAACTGGACACACCAACCCGTCGTGGAACGACGGGTATCAATGCAGCCTGCATAGTCAGAATCAGAGTAAGCGCGTAAGCTCAAATCACCAGAGGCAGGAAGAAACAAACCGACATCACGAGTCCCCTGGAGATAACGCAGGATGCGATGCACAGCAGCAAGATGAGCAGTCCGCGGAGCAGCCATAAACTGGCTAACGACTTGCACAGCGTAGGCTATGTCGGGCCGAGTAGCAACTAGGTAGATTAGACTCCCGACCATACTGCGGTAAACACGACCATCTCCTAAAGGTTCACCTGAATCCTTACCCAACTTCAGATTAAGCTCAATAGGAGTGCGGACCGGGATGCAGTCACCGAACCGATGATCTTCCAGTAGATCATTAATATACTTATGCTGGCTCAACAGAATGCCGCGATCAGAACGATGAACTTCAATGCCCAGGAAGTAAGAGAGAGAGCCCAGATCCTTCAGACTGAAAGAGGCACGAAGATTGGCCTTGAGTCGATCAATACCAATGAGATCATCCCCGGTAACAATCATATCGTCGACGTATATCAATAGAACAACACGGCCACGAGACGAAGTCTGGGTGAACAGGGAAGGATCGTTCTGGCTCTGCTGAAAACCAAAACTGAGAATGGTGTGTTGAAACTTCTCAAACCAAGCCCGAGGGGCCTGTTTCAAGCCATAGAGAGACCGATGAAGTAGACACACCTGATCGGGGGAACCCTTAGGGTAACCAGGAGGAATCTCCATATACACTACCTCCTTTAAGTCACCGTGGAGGAAAGCATTCTTAATGTCGAGCTGAAAGAGAGGCCAATTGCGAATAGCAGCAACAGCGAGCAAAGTACGTACAGTCTGCATTTTCGCCACCGGGGCGAATGTCTCATCAAAATCCACGCCGTACTCCTGAGTGAAACCCTGAGCGACCACTCGGGCCTTATGACGCTCAAGACTACCATCCGGAAGAAACTTCAGGTTATAAATCCACCGACAACCAACAACCGGAACTTCAGGAGGAGGCCGATCCACTATTGACCATGTATGGTTTGCATCCAGCGCACCAAACTCGTCGGACATGGCCTTGTCCCAAAGAGGATCACCCTTGGCCTGGGAATAACGAGTGGGGATCCGAATGGAGTCAACTGCATGTGCAAGGTAATCACCAAACCTTGCTGGAGGCTGCCCAAAGTTGGCTCGGTGGGATTGACGACGGACAGGTGGAGTCGGCGAAGCAGGAGGTGAGGCCGGGCCGGACGAGCCAGGGGAGAATGTAGCTGGGCTGGCGGGATCCGACGCAGTGGGAGATGCCGGCTGGTCAGGAGGAAGATCGGGAGGGAGGTCATCATCATCCAGGTCGTCACCAAAGGAGGGAGGATGAGTCGAGGAGAACAGTTGAGAAACGGACTCGGACGAGGAAGAGGTATGAAACATCACACCTTCAAAGAAAACGACATGGCAAGCTATTCTAACCCGACCAAGAGAGGGATCAAAACTGAGATATCCTTTGTGAATATCACTGTAACCAAGGAAGACACACCGAGCAGTTTTAGAAGACAATTTATGACGTTCACGACGGGGAAGAAGAACAAAACACAGACAACCAAACACACGAAGGCGTGAGTAAGGCGGATGGGAAGAATGAAGAGCAAAATACGGACTACGATTTTGAAGAATAGGAGTGATTTGGTAATTAATAAGACGAACAGCGAGATGTGGATCAATCTCAATTAAAGTCATCAGGCCTTGTAAGAGGCAATTAGGTTTTGGTATTTGTGATGTTTGGGTTATTGAATTCGTATCAATTAGAAGTACCTACCAATGATTAAAATTGGGCATGAATCTATTCGTCTGTTAATTTTGCTTTGAAAAGTGAATAAAATTAAATTTTGTGACTCCAGAATGAGAAGGTGAGTAGTTGGAACTAATGGTGGAAATGGCAAGAACACTACACAATCGGTTGTTTGTTATCTCAATAGCTTGACTGTGATGCAAAGAGGCACAAGTGTTTAACTGTCTCTTACTATTATCTTTTCAGTCAATGTTATACTTATTTTTTTTTTGGTTTTACAGGATGGGAAAACTCCACCGATTGGACCAGTTGTTATTTCGCCATATGGATTATTTCCGTCACTCTATCTTGAAGGTGAAGTCTTATTTCTTCCTGTGGAGCTTCTTACATAATTCTAAGTTCATTTTTGACAATACTGCACATGTTGTTCTTTTCCTTGTCCAAGTGATAAAATGTATGATACTTAAGTGAAAATTTTCTCTGAACACTTGTTACATAGTTGGACTCTAAGGATTACTCCATTCATTGTGCAAAATATAAATCTTGAGATAACTTCTTCCTCTTTTAACCTTTTACCCTGCATGTTACTTCCAATCTAATCTAATAACTTGATGCCTACTTCTTTCTTTTATCATGAACCCATAGCATGTCTATTAAGCTAGTATATTGAACCTTTTTTTTAATCACAAGTAATGTCTCTCTTTCTTTGATATTTGTCAGCCACTTCTACAGTGGAACTTGTTGATATTAAGTTACCATTGACACTCTTTCATGAAAATGCGAAGTTGATTTCCCTACAACTTCACTACTTATCGGTATGTGTACTGTGATCAAGAACTTAAAATTTATTAGCTTTACTTTCTGTCCTATTAATCCTCTGGTCTATATCTTATGAGCTTGGGCATTTGAAGGAAGAACTTTTGAACTCTGCTTTCCGCTTTCTGATTCCTGCTTACTGTCTTTAGTTTCATTGCTGCCTGACTCTTCTCTTTCAAAAGCTTATTGATCAGGTACCCCTGGACAGCTTAATAAGTACGAACAAGAAGTGACTAAATCGAGCGAGAAGGTAATGTAATGGGTTTAGCTTCTTTTTCTTGGTCCCATCTTTGGCATCAAAGACTACTGTCTACCAATATTTTGTTCTACATGGTTTTGGTCAGCTTGCATCTGTTGACTTTCTTATGATTCAAGTTAACTCTCCATTGGTTTGGAAACCCTGTCTTTGATATGATTGTGACTGGTTTGAGCAGTCAGGTTAATAAGGTCACTTCTTAATCTGTACAGGTACAAAGACGTCTTGCCCAAAACCGTGAGGCTGCTCGTAAAAGTCGTCTACGTAAAAAGGTAAAATGTGGATTGCATAATAGGCAATTAGTTTGTTTCATGTCATTTTGTTGCTTTTAAGTTTGAAAGGGTTGCACTAGTTTTTTTTGTCTTGTCTGTTCACGCATGTGTTCAGGATTGGTATGTTGACTCGCATAAATTATAGGTCAGGCACTCCTATCCGCATTTACCTATCCGCAGTAGCTAGATGAGTAATTTAATATACACTGCCTGTCCTGTACTAGTGGTTGCTATCTATCAAGAGTTGTTTCTTTACTCATGATTTCTATATAATCTATTGAGCCTGTCATTTGTTACCAACATCCAAGAATGCCTGAAAAACTAATGCGTGTTGCTCTTGGTATCTTCCGATCTTTCAATTTCCTTTTGCTTGTTTACTGTTGTTGGGGTGGATTTGGTAAGATTTATTTCCTCGTTGTTTTATATATAGTATTGAATCTGTCTTTGTTATCAACATCCACTAGTGCCTGAAAAGTTGATGCTTGTCGCTCTTGTTTTCATTTGTTCTTTCATTGTCTTTTCGGTTGCTGAATGTAAATCTGAGTTTTTGGTGTAGATTTGGTGCAGCTAACCTAAACCTTTTCCCATATTCATGCAAGGTTTATTGTTGGCTTCTTCTTTGGTGGCATTCCTTGGTACATTGGGGCATTTGTTCTACTATTCGCACAAGTGGACTCCAGAGAGAAACCTGGATATGTTGCGTATGTGATAGCTGTGAGTATTGGTTTTCCAACTGCTAATATTTCCCTTTGCTTGTGGACCTCGATGCTATTTTGATTTCCTTGTCTCATATGACTGGAGTTATGTCCCGTTCTTAAAAAAGAGCATGCTAGTCGGGAAGCATCGTCAGTTTCTATATATGTCCTCGTTGCTCTTATAACCAAGATGTTGATGTTTTATTAGCTGTTAATTTTAGATGGTTCCTTTTGTCAATCAGAGAAGCTGTTAACTGGAAGTAGACACACTGAAGACACTGTTCTTGCAACATCTTCGTAGGGAGAAGGGGTCAATGGAGGGTTCAATTCGTGCACCATCTTCATCAAGCCAAAGTGCTACACGGGGTTGACAAAAGGTAAGTAAAAAAAACAAAGTACCTGCTGCCTTGCTGATTATGACTGTTTGTTTGCAAACTCTGTTCTTTTCCACTCTGGAATTTTGGCAAGCTCGTAATTTTTTTGTTACTTTTTGTCCTTGAGAATGTGATAGTATTGTATTCCTATTCCCCTTGACATTCCAGTCCAATTTAGTACCATTCTCAGCTTAGCATGTTAGATTATATATATATATGTAGAGTAAGTAATGGCAATGGCCTACAGGTTAAACCCTTCGATGCATATATATATATATTTGAGATTGTTGTCTTGTTATTATTTTTCCAGCTTCAGGAAGAGAGAGAAAGTCCCCTCTAACTACAAGCGATGCACCAAGTGAGTCATATCATATATCGTATAGATGATGTAATTTGATTTGGAGCTATATGTTTTGGTTACCTTTGAAACAGGATAAAGATGAGCTGTTGGTGATTCTGAAGAAAGCCTAAGTTCAATATTATGGATTTAGTTGGAACTTTATATTTGTTAAAGTGTACTTTGGAAGTATTGTGTAGTAATAATGTGTACTTTGGAAATTAGCATTGTGTGGCATGGATAATGGAGAATATTGTAGACTTTGAAGGTACTTTGCATGTGTACTTTATGAGAATTTTGAAATGCTTCAGCAGGTGTGCAGGATTTCTAGAAATTATGAAAAATTGAAATGCTTCAGTAGGCTGTAGTAATGGTCTAAAAATCGTCGCTAAAAATCGTCTCTAAAAATCATCTGAATTGCGTCGCTAAAAATAATCCTAAACGTCGCTAAAAGGTTACCCAGTGCTTGAAGAGTGGTCTGTAGCAGGGGCCAAAACCGTCGCGAAAGCTTCTGGGATCCCAGCAAAGATTCGCATCTGATGACACAAAAAAGACCAAATGCGACAGAACTAACCGCTGCAACAAAACCGTTGCTAACAACCCCGGCAGCGGTTTTTGTAACCCCTGCCATTACCTAGCGGCGGTTGTTCTTGCGACGGTTTTGCAGGGGTTACAAAAACCGCTGCCGGGGCTGTTAGCGACGGTTTTTTTCGTCGCTAAAAGTGAAAAAAACCCCTGCTGTTTGTCTTTTATTTTGTAGTGTAGGATTCGTTTCCGTGTGATTAAATCTATAGAAATAAACGAAAATTTCAATTACAGCATAAAGTAATATAGATGTAACTCGTGAAACTAAAATAGAAAAAAATTAATTGTCTTCAAAAAATGGTAAGTAAGAGCTATACCTAATTTTACATAGGAAAGTCATGCAAAATATCCATTACCATTTGATTATGTATATAAATAAAATTTGAATTTACTCTCCACTCTACATCTGTCAAACAAACCAAGACACTCACCCTTTTAGATATTAAATATGGTAGTTTGATGTGAATAAGTTGGAAGGAAAAAAATACGCACCATAGTAGTCTTAGAAACCTTCCCAAAAGGCCAAAACAATACACCGGTGGAGACAATAAAAAAACCTGGCACCACTCTATACTGCCTTCTTTTTTTTCACTCAAATTTTGAAAAAAAAAGTACCAATCTTGTGCAAAGAAATTTCAATAATGACTGAAAACAAGAAAGATATAGTCCATAAAATTAATTTGGAGAGAAATTTAATTGTCTTTCATAAATGGTAAGTGAGGGTTATGCATAATTTTACATAGAAAACTTACATAAAGGATCCGTTTCCCAATTTGATTAGATGTATATATAAATAAAACTTGAATTTATTCTACACTCTAGAGTTGTCAAACAAACTAGACGGCGTTAGAAAGTTGGGCACTGTGTAGGGAAGAGCAGAGAATTAATTTTGCAATGAATGACAAACTTTGGTTTTTACTTTTCACATTCGACGTTAGGAGATGTTCAAAATGTATTTAATCTCTTTGTTGTCTCAGAGGGAAACAATTTCCAGAATTTTATGGTAGTACATTAAACAATTATATATATAGCAGCCAACAGTGACCTGATTATGATGTATTGAACAAAACTTCTGAGTATGTTGTGAGCGCATGTGGGTCAAATACCATTGGCTTATTTGTTTGTTATCTATGAATGGGTACATGAGTCAGCAACATAAGAAATTGGTCAAGGTGACCCGATTCGTTGTTGAAAGGTCTTTTGGTTGAAAGCGCTTTAAACTTTTGGTAATATAAAGAATAACGAATAAGGGATTGATTTAGTGGTAATATCAATAGCTTTGAATTTCAAGAATTTATATTCAAATCTTTTAAATAGTATCTAATAACAAAATGTAACATATGTAATGGAAGTAGAAAAAATTAGAGGCCTCTTAAGCCGAACTTCTTCCTCCTCCGAGTGACACATAGGTAGGTATGAGCCAGTAGTTTTATGTGGGGCGGTTTGTTACAACTGAAGTTAAACTGAACGTTTCTTAGCTACTCGGCTCCCTCTGTGATTTCAGGGAAGACATCGCCCACCTCCTTCTCCGTCGATTCCTCATTTCCCCGCGTTTAAGTCGCAAATAAGCATTCAAATTTCAGATGAACCCGATAAGTGTGAGATGTGCCACTACAATTACAGCACCTTGGCGCACTCAATGACAAACCATATATAAGTAATTAATCATATAAAATAGCTAGTAGTATTGCCAGGATAACGCAGGGCAACAATTTCCAGAATTTTGTGAAGTACACTATTTAAACAATTATATATATAGCAGCCAACAGTGACCTGATTATGAAGTATTAATTAAGAACATGACTTCTGATTATAATGTAAGGAATTGGTCAAGGTGACACCATTGACTTGATTGTGTTTAGTTGTAGTTGCGACCTAGGAAGTGACTGAACCGGTGGCTCTATAAATAAATAAAAAAAAACCCATCTCTGGTGTAATATCAATTTATCAAAACCATACAAAATATGGTTCTCTATCTTCTTTTTCTCCTCGCCTTCGTCATCGCCGTTTCCCGATTCCTCTCCACCTCTTCAGCTTCCAAACACCGGCTGCCGCCAGGGCCAAAGCCATGGCCGATTATAGGCAACATCCCTCACCTCGGCAAGCAAGTTCACGTCTCCCTCCAACGCTTCTCCCAGCTCTACGGCCCTCTCATCTCCCTCCGCCTCGGCTCCCAGCTCGTCGTCATCGCCTCTTCCCCTGCGGCCGCCGCAGAAATCTTAAGAACCCACGACCGCCTCCTCTCCGCCAGATACGTCGCCACGGTTGTGCCTTACGACACGGTGGAGCTCGACCGCAAGGCCATCGTTTGGGCTTCCAACTGCAACAACGACCGGTGGAAGGCCTTCCGAGCAATGTTCAGGAACCAGATGTTCTCCGCGAGGGCCATCGAATCTCAGGCCGCCGTCAGGGAGAGGAAGGTCGCCCGGATGGTGGAATTTCTCCAAGGGAAATTAGGGGAGCCTGTTAAGATCGCTGAACTAGCTTTCGCTGCTATCTTCGACTCGTTGTCGAATCTCATGTTCTCGCGAGATTGCATCGGGTTCGAAAGTAGCAGCGAGACTGCGAATCGATTGAAGTCGCTGATTTGGAGGATGATGGAACTGGGGACTAAAACTAATTTCGCCGATTATTTCCCAGTTCTGAAGAAACTGGATCCTCAGGGCCTGAGACGCGAGATGTTTCGCCTTTGCAATGAGCTCTACTCCGTCTGGCAGCCTGAAGTCAAAGAGAGGAGAGAGCGAGGGCGACCTGGTGGTGCTGAAGACTTCTTGGATATTTTCTTTGAAAATGGACTCGATGATGACCAGATTGACTGGTTGAGTCTCGTAAGTTCATAAGGAAAAAAAAATTCAATTCGATTTCCTAGTTTACACACACATAAGATATTTTGAGCTTAATTAGCTTTGCAAAGGAGTTAATTGAGACGTATCCTGAAAAGGATTAATTACACTACAATTTGGAGCTTTGCTTTTCCACTGGGTTTCTTGCAGGAATTGTTCTCGGCCGGTACGGATACGAGCATGGCTACAATAGAATGGGCAATGGCAGAGCTAATTCGAAACAAGGGAGCGATGGACGAGCTGCGGGACGAGCTGAAGACAAAATTGTCACCACCGCTTGATGGGAAACCGGCGTTGATCGACGAATCTGTGGTGGCTCAGCTTCCATACTTGAGCGCAATTGTCAAGGAGACGCTGAGGCTACACCCTCCGGCGCCGCTGCTGCTGCCGCATCGAGCGCCGGAGACTTGCAAGGTGATGAATTACACGGTCCCTGAAGGGACTCATATTGTGGTCAACGTATGGGCTATTTCTAGGGATCCGAAGGTGTGGGAGGATGACCCGATGTCGTTTAAGCCGGAGAGGTTCATTGGGTCGAGCGTGGATTTCAGGGGGCAGGATTTCGAGTTTCTGCCGTTCAGTGCTGGGAGGAGGATGTGCCCCGGAGTGTCATTGGCCACCCGACAGATTCCGTTGGTTTTGGCTGCTTTGGTTCGGAGCTTCGATTGGTCCCTCTCCGATGGAGAGGATCCGACGGAGTTGGATATGAGTGAGAAGTTTGGTACAACGTTGGAGAAGGAACGACCTCTGCTTCTTGTTCCCAACCGGAGTTCATTATAAGGTCTTCCATGTTCCCTTTGAGATACAATAAAAAAACGAAGAAGAATAATGGTCCATGTATATATATGGAAGTAGGTACTCTCGAGCCGGGGCTTGTGTGGATAATGCTTGTGTGATGGAATAATAGTCCATAATGAGTTTCGTTATAAGTTCAAAATAGTAGTTATAAGTTCTTAATGTAAATGATAGTTCAGGCGCTTAGGATATCGTACTTATTATATGTCTTGTTTTTATTTATTTAAATGATGAATTAATCGAAATTTTCGACATCGTATTATTCCCTAACTTCTCATGGGTGAAATTCAGTCCGTAATTTCCAACCACAAGCCATAAAATCATGTTTGGGGAGGCATTTAAGGCCAAAGGAAACGTCAATGAAGTTGTGATGAGGGAGGACGATGATTCTGAGTGACGATTCCAAGTACCTAGTTTGTGACTCAGCCAAACAGGTAACCCTTTTTTTGTTCGATTTGTAACATTTTTAAGACGTTCGTCACTTGCTGTCACATCTATCGAATAGGACAATTACCGCATCTGGCTTCAATTCCTCGCACGAACTCACAATCGCTACTATTCCAGATCGCTCAGCGATCAGACAAAAGTACTTGCTCATTAAAAATTGGTCTAAATCATCACAAAAAAGTATGTAATTAGTCACAAATAATATGATCAATTAGTTGTTAACCGACAATCGAACCGATAAATTCATTTAGTGGTTAACCGATAACCGCTAATTTCTTATTGGTTTTGGTTTCGGTTAGTAGTATTTTGCTTAGTGGTTATTGCTAATTGACTAATCGGTTAGTGGTTAATCAATTAGAAACCCGATAACCGCCTACTAGTATAACCACATAGTTTTGGACTTTGGAAAAAGGGAAGGTTTCAAGATTCAAAACCAACCCAAGTCGCAATCTCAAACATCCCAATTTTCACTTATTGCAAACAACCATTTATCAAGAGTGTCAAATTGTATTCATATTATTTCTTAAAATTATTATTTTATGATAACAATATAGAAACGTAGTTAAATTATTTTTAATTATTTGTATGATTATTCGTCTTTAATATGTAGTACTGTTGTTCATTGTTATGTTTATGGATGAAA